TCCATTCTGTAATACGGTGACCAGAACTGAACTGCGTAATCCAGGTGTGGTCTCACAAGAGCAAGATACAGTTTTAGGATGACCTAACTAGTCTTGTAACTAACACTCCTTTGTATGAACCCAAGTACTTTATTAGCCTTGTTACGAGCAAAAACACATTGTTTACTTGGCTTAAGGTTCCTACTTATCATTACTCCTAAATCTCTCTCGCAGTCGGATTTCTCTATGGCATCGTTGTTCATCTGGTATCTGGTTTCCCTGTTTACATCTCCTATACTGAGTACTTTACATTTGTCCACGTTGAATTTCATCTGCCATTTTTCAGACCATTCGAAAAATTTGTTTAGATCTTCCTGTAGTTTTGTGGAGTCCTCGTCAGATTTAATAACACATCCTATTTTAGTGTCATCAGCAAATTTGCTTATGTTGCTGTCAATGTCGATATCTATGTCGTTTATGTATATAATAAATAATGATGGTCCAAGTACTGAGCCTTGGGGAACTCCACTTGTGACGTTGCTCCAATGGGACTTAGTGCCATTAATGCTCACTCCCTGTTTCCTGTCCTGTAACCACGCCCTAATCCATTTAAGGATATTACCATTGATGCCATGTGCTTCTACTTTTCTAATTAGTCTTTCGTGGGGGGACTCTGTCGAAAGCTTTGCTAAAGTCGAGATATACCACATCATAATTGTGCCCCTCGTCCACCGATTCGAAAACTGATGAAAAGAATGTTAATAGATTAGTTAGACATGAACGTCCGCTTGTGAAGCCATGCTGGGAATCATTGATCAATCTGTGCTTCTCCAGGTGATTTCGAATAGAGTTTGAAATGATTGCTTCCAGTAATTTGCCTACTATTGATATTAGACTGATTGGGCGATAGTTAGAGGATAGTGATCTATCCCCCTTCTTGAAAATCGGTATTATATTCGCTATCTTCCAGGATTCTGGTACTACACCTGTTTTTAAGGACATGTTAAACAACTTTGCTAAGGGCATACTAAGCTCTTCCTTACATTCCTTTAATACTCTGGCAAATATCTCATCGGGACCAGGTGACTTATTAGGCTTTAGTTTGTCTATTTGCTTACTAACATCGTTACTAGTCACTAATATCTCGCTTAATTTGTTTTCTTCACTATCTCTGAATAAAGTCGATGCCCCGGGTATCATGTTTAAATTTTCGGTGGTGAAAACTGTTGAAAAATATTTATTCAAATTATTGCTCATTTCTCTGTCGTTATCAGTGAGCTCGCCGGTGTCTGACCGTATTGGTCCAATCTTTTCTCGTGTTTTAGTTTGATACATTTGGTAGAATCCTTGTTTGTTCTTCACCTGTGGCTTCGCAAAAGAGCAAAATTTATTCTCTAAAACAACGTCATATCAACAATAGTTATGTGACAGACAGCCCGTGGGGATGTGGAAGTCTGCCTGCATGACTGTTACTTTTATCTTCTTCGCTGTTGTACTAAACGCCACCACCCACGAACGATAACATTCATTCTCATTATCACTTCACGCAGACGGTATTATTTGACCAGTCACTTTACAAAAATTTGTGTAATGTTCTCTTGGATTGTAATATTTTTTTGGGTATCGCCAGAGGGAGTTGGCAAACATCACGGCCATGAACTGCCTTACACCTGTGTGAGGCGCGGTAGTGGAGGTCAAGTGGCAGGACAGCCACGGTGCACCTGGCAGGTATTGTCAAGGAGACTCACACACGTTGTCACTGTGCCAACAACTAGTGTGAATTTCTCTAACACACGTGTTGGTCAACAAAGAGTAATACACAATCAACCGCGATTAACCCGCCATAAGAGTTCATAACTATATCTTGAACTTCTTAAATGTGTTAATATTTTACGTGGTTGAGGACTGAGTTGAACAATATGAACCGGGTATAGGTGTGTAAGCTGGGTCACTTTATAGTCTCAAAACAGGAATAAATAATCGCAACAGAAAAAATTACCAAATTTTTAAAACAGTTTTTAGAACATAGAACAAGTTGAGGCGCAGTGAGTAACGGTGATGTGGTTCTTGATAATATAATTTTCCTTACACGCCGGTAAAACCTTAAACTCAAGCGCGTGCGGAGGCGGTAATTCCTAAGGAAAATTAACAATAACAATAATCTTATTTCCTGTGACCAATAATGTATGCTGCGAACGTTTGGTCAACAAAACAAGAAAGTTTACCAGAGTTGCTTCAGTAATGTTTGTGGGTTAAGATACCAAGCCCAGCTCCCTTGTGGTCGTGTGAGCCACAGCCTGATGTATCACCCTCGACATCCAATCTTCCAGCCTCATGTATTTGACGATCGCTTTCGGGAGAAGGAGGATGCTGACGTCCACAGAGTCAAGCCATTCGGTTTCCCATTACTCAAGCTCTCGTTTGCTCGTTACTCGGGGCAGGGAGGAAGAGGAGAGGCTAGACGCTGCTGTTTTCCTGACCGGCTGCCACAACTCCTGAGCCATATAATATTTTTGTAAACACACCACTTGTCTGTCATTTAGTGTATTAGCAGTGTGATCATCAAACACCATAACGAGCGGCTAAATTATGTGTATACTCCCGAGAAGATATCAGTAAGAACTAATCAAAGCGAATATCAGTGGTTCTGAATTGTCAAGACACTGATCTCTAACTTTCTGCTGGTCTCCTCCACAGCAACATCCCCGCTGCAGTCCACCGAGGTCTTCTGCATTCATCCAACACACTTTTGTGCTCTGTGTAAGTCTGAATAAGTCTATTCTGGTTCTCTCAATTTGATCTTAAACTTTGCCCATAAGAAATAACTTCATCCCTTCACTCTCATCTCTTTAAATATAGACACGATAAAACTACTTTACTTGTGCAAGAACCAGTGATGTAGGTCTCGAAACCCCTCTTTCAAGGCTCGGTCTCGGCCACCCTTGGTTTCGAATCTTTGGTCGAGACTTTTCGAAACCACAAATTTATTTATTAATTCTAAAATCTATTGGGAGGGTGATCAATTGATCAAGTTTGGGATCAGAGGTGAGAGTTTCCTCACCTCAAGAGAGTCTGGGAAAGGGTCTCGGCGAATGTTTGTGTGTATGTGTGTGTGTGTGTATGTGTGTGTATGTGTGTGTGTGTGTGTATGTGTGTGTGTGTGTGTGTGTGTGTGTGTGTGTAATATAGACTTTAACCTGTTATAATGAGGATAGGAGACTTAATTAAACTTCATAGATACCTGTACAGTATATGTAAAAACCTGCATAGAAGCTTCCAAGTTTTAGCATCATTTTGAGATGTGTAATGAAGCTTAGTAAGATCACTAGAAGAATATCCTCCCACCCCCACCTCCCTCCGGTGCTGTCTGAAGGCGGGGAGAGATTCTTCAGGTGATCCGCTTGAAGAATGAAGGTTAACGAAGAGAATGAAAATATAAATAAAAGAATAAAAGAATAGCCAAAACAATATTACTTTTTTTTCTGATTTGAAGGAGCAAGAAAACTTATGCAACAATGTGGAAGATCATTTACTCATCTTCACCTTGAGGCCAGGAGTATCATGAAAAACCCACCTCTGACACATATCTTTTGTTATTGTTTTAGTTCTGGTCAGGCAATAAGGAATGTGTAGTGATTATTTGGTTTATTATTACTGTTTTATTTTTCAACAGCTCAGAACTAAAAATCATAAAGTCTCCAGCATAATGACTACAATTTGACATACGTACTCCTATATAAGTACTGTACTCCGATATACGTACTGTACTCCTATATACGTACTGTACTCCTATATACGTACTGTACTCCTATATACGTACTGTACTCCTATATACGTACTGTACTCCTATATACGTACTGTACTCCTATATACGTACTGTACTCCTATATACGTACTGTACTCCTATATACTTACTGTACTCTTATATACGTACTCCTATATCGTGTTCCTGGTTTTAAAGTGTAAACAAGATGGTGTGATTCTACCAAGAGTACTAGACACAACCCCAGACCCCGAGACACAACCCCAGGCAGACACAACTGAACCCCAAGACACAACCCCCCAGACTCAGGAACACAACCCAAGAGCAGGAGAATACGGCCCAGACCCAACATACAACCCCTGGGCCAGAGACAAACCCCAGAACCAGGGCACAACCCCCAGGCAGGAACCACAGCCCCCAGACCCAGAATCACAGCCTTCCCCAGACCCAGAGACACAACCCCAGACTCAGAGGCACAACCCCCAGACCCAGGGGCACAACCCCAGACCCAGGAACACAACCCCAGACCCAGAGACACAACCCCCAGACCCAGAGACACAACCCCCAGACCCAGAAGTACAACCCCCAGACCCAAGACACAACCCCAGACTCAGAGACACAACCCAGACCCAGAGACACAACCCCAGACCCAGAGACCTGCCCCAGACCCAGGAGACACAACTCTGGAGCCAGAGACACAACCCCAGACACAGGAACCACAACCCCAGACCCAGGGCACAACCCCAGACCCAGAGATACAACCCCCAGACCCAGGGCACAGCCTGAACAGCCCAGGGCAACCCCCAGACCAGAGACACAACCCCAGAGACTCAGGAGCACAACCCCAGACTCCAGAGACACAACCCCAGACAGATATACAACTCCAGACCCAAACATGTACAACCCTAGACCAGGAATGCAACCCTAGACCCAGAGACACAACCCCCAGACCCAGAGACACAACCCCAGACTCAGGGCAGCACAACCCCAGACTCAGGAGACACAACCCCAGACCAAGATATGCAACTCAGACCCAAACACGCTGACCCTAGACCCAGAGATACAACCCTAGACCCAGAGATACAACCCCAGACCCAGAGACACAACCCCAGACTCAGAGACACAATCCCAGACTCAGGGAGACACAACCCCCAGACCAGGAGCACAACCCCAGATTGAGACACAACCCCAGACCAAGATATACAACTCCAGACCCAAACATACAACCCTAGACCCAGAGATACAACCTGGGCAGAGAATGCAACTGAACCCAGAGACACAGCCCAGACTCAGGGCACAATCCCCAGACTCAGGGCACAACCCCAGACCCAGAGACACAACTCTAGACCCAGAGACACAACCCCAGACACAGGAACACAACCCCAGACCAGATAGCCACAACTCCAGGCCAAACCATACAGCCCCTAGACCCAGAGATACAACCCTAGACCCAGAAGATACAACCCCAGACCCCAGAGACACAACCCCAGACCCAGAGACACAACCTTCCCCAGACCTCAGAGACTGACCCCAGACCCAGAGCCTGGCTCTAGACTCAGAGACACAACCCCAGACTCCAGAGACACAACCCCAGACTCAGAACCACAGCCCCCAGACCAGATATACAACTCCAGACCCAAACACCTGACCCCTAGACCAGAGATACAACCCTAGACCCAGAGATACAGCCTTCCCCAGACCCAGGGCACAACCCCAGACCCAGGGCACAACCCCAGACTCAGAGACACAGCCCCAGACAGAGACACAACTCTGGGCAGGGCCACAACCCCAGACACAGAGACACAACCCCAGACCAGATATACAACTCCAGGCCAAACGCCTGGCCCTGAACCCAGAAGATACAGCCCTAGACCCCAGGGCACAACCCCAAGACTGAGGGCCGCAACCCCAGACCAAGATATACAACCCCCAGACCCAGAGACACAATCAGACCCAGAGACACAACCCCGGGCTCAGAGACACAACCCCCAGACCCAGAGACACAACCCCAGACCCAGAGACACAACCCCCAGACCCAGGAACACAACCCCAGACCCAGGATACAACCCCAGACCAAGAGATGACCTCAGACCCAGGGCACAACCCCAGACCCCAGGGCCACAGCTAGTTGGGAACCTGATCCCAAGCCAGAGACACAACCCCAGGAGCCAGAGATTTCAACCCCAGACTCGGGGAGTTGTCCCAGACTCAGGGAACCCCAACCCCCAGACAGAGACACAACCCCTGGGCCAGAGACACAACCTAGACCAGGGCAATCCCAGACTCAGGGACACAATCCCAGACTCAGAGACACAATCCCAGACTCAGAGACCTGGCAGACTCAGAGACACAACCCCCAGACTCAGGAACACAACCCCTAGACCCAGGAACACAATCCCAGACTCAGAGACCACAATCCAGACTCCAGAACCTAATCCAGACTCAGAGACACAACCCCCAGACTCAGGAGCACAGCCCCCAGACTCAGAGACACAACCCCAGACCCAGGGCAACCCCAGACTCAGAGACACAACCCACAGACTCAGGGCACAACCCCAGACTCAGAGACCTGACCCCAGACTCAGAGACCCACAGCCCCAGACTCAAGACCTGGCCCAGACTCAGGGCCACAACCCCAGACTCGGGAGCCACAACCCCCAGACTCAGAGACACAGCCCCAGACTCAGGGCCACAACCCCAGACCCAGAGACACAGCCCTGGGCCAGGGCCACAACCCTAGACCCAGAGACACAATCCCAGACTCAGGGCACAACCCCAGACTCAGAGACACAACCCTAGACCCAGAGACACACCAGCCCTAGACCCAGAGACACAGCCCTAGACCCAGAGACACAATCCCAGACTCAGAGACACAATCCCAGACTCAGAGGGCCACAACCCCAGACTCAGAGACACAACCTAGACGAGACACAACCCTAGACCCAGAGACACAACCTTCCCCTAGACCCAGAGACACAACCTAGACCCGACACAATCCAGACTCAGAGACACAACCCCAGGCTCAGAGACACAGCCCTGGGCCCAGGAGCACAACCCCAGACCCAAGAGATACAGCCCCCAGACCAAGGAATGCAACACCTCCAGACCCAGAGACACAACCCCCAGGCCAGAGACACAACCCCAGACCCAGGAACACAGCGCCCCCAGGCCCAGAGACACAACCCTAGACCCAGAGACACAATCCCAGACTCAGGGCAGCCCAGACTCAGGGCACAACCCTAGACCCAGAGACACAACCCTGGGCAGAGACACAACCCTAGACCCAGAGATAACCCTAAGACCCAGGAGCCACAACTCCGACTCAGGGCACAACCCCAGACCCAGAGACACAACCCACAGACTCAGAGACACAACCCTAGACCAGAGACACAATCCCAGACTCAGAGACCACAATCCCAGACTCCAGAGACACAATCCCAGACTCAAGAGACACAATCCCAGACTCTAAAGAGACACAACCCCTGGGCTCAGAGACACAACCTAGACCCAGGAGGGCACAACCCTAGACCCAGAGACACAATCCCAGACCCAGAGACACAACCCCCCAGACTCAAGACACAACCCTGGGCAGAGACACAACCCTAGACAGAGACACAATCCCAGACTCAGGGCCTGACCCCCAGACTCCAAGAGACACAATCCCAGACTCAGAGACTAACCCCAGACCCCAGGAGGGCAACCCCAGACTCAGAACACAATCCCAGACCCAGGGCACACAACTAGACCCAGAGACACAACCCCAGACTCCAGAGACACAACCCCAGACCCAGAGATACAACCCCAGACAGAGATGCAACCTCAGACCAAGAGATGCAACCTCAGACCCAGAAGACACAACCCAGACTCAGAGACACAACCCCCCAGACCAAGATACAACCCCAGACCAGAGATGCAACCTCAGACCAAGAGATGCAACCTCAGACAGAGACACAACCCCCAGACAGAGACACAACCCCAGACTCCAGGAGCCTGGCCCCCGGAGCCCAGAGATACAACCCCAGGGCCCAGAGATGCAACCTCAGACCAAGAGACACAACCCCAGACCCAGAGACACAACCCCAGACTCAAGACACAATCCCCAGACTCCAGGGCACAAGCCCCAGACCCAGGGCCTGACACAGACTCAGGAGCACAACCCACAGACTCCAGAGGCACAACCCCCAGACCCAGAGACACAATCCCAGACTCCAGAGACACAGTCCAGACCAAGAATGCAACCTCAGACCCAGAGCACAACCCCTAGACCCAGAGACAACCCTAGACCCAGAGACACAATCCCAGACTCAGAGACACAACCCCAGACCCAGAGACACAACCCCAGACTCAGAGGCACAATCCCAGACCCAGAGACACAACCCCAGACCCAGGGAACTACAACCCCAGACCCAGAACACAACCCCCAGACCCAGAGACACAACCCCAGACCCAGAGATACAACCCCAGACCAAGGGGCTACAACCCAGACCAAGGGCCTGACCCCAGACCAAGGGCACAAGCCCCCCAGACCAAAGACACAGCCTCAGACCAGGGCAACCCCAGACCCAGAGACACAACCCCAGACCCAGAGATACAACCCCAGACAAGACACAACCCCCAGACCAAAGAGACACAACCTCAGACCCAGAGACACAACCCCCAGACAGAGACCACAACCCCAGACCCAGAGACACAACCCCAGACCCCAGAGACACAACCCCAGACCAAGAGACACAACCCCAGACTCAGGGCAGCCCCAGACTCAGAGACACAATCCCAGACTCAGAGCCTGGCCCGGAACCCAGGGCAATCAGACTCAGGAACTGGCCAGACTCAGGGCCTGGCCCCAGACTCAGAGACACAATCCCAGACTCAGAGACACAACCCCAGACTCAGAGACCACAATCCAGACTCAGAGACCTACAGCCCCAGACCCAGAGACACAATCCCAGACTCAGAGACACAACCCCAGACTCAGAGACACAACCCCAGACTCCAGAGACACAATCCCAGACTCAGAACCCCAACCCCCAGACCCAGAGACACAACCCCAGACTCAGAGACACAATCCCAGACTCAGAGACACAACCCCCAGACAGAGACACAATCCCAGACTCAGAGACACAACCCCCAGACTCAGGGCCTGGCCCAGACTCAGAGACACAATCCAGACTCAGAGACACAACCCCCAGACCCAGAGACGCAATCCCAGACCCAGAGACACAACCCCAGACTCAGAGACACAACCCCAGACTCAGAGACCACAACCCCAGACTCAGAGACACAACCCCAGACTCCAGACCACAATCCCAGACTCAGAGACACAACCCAGACTCAGAGACACAATCCCAGACTCCAGGGCACAACCCCCAATTTAGAGACACAACCCCCAGACTCAAGACACAATCCAAGGGCCAAGACGCAACCTTCCCAGACTCAGAAGACACAATCCCGGGCCTGGGGCAATCCGAGACTCAGAGACACAACTGAACCCAGAGACACAACCCCAGACTCAGAGACACAATCCCAGACTCAGAGACACAACCCCCAGACCAAGACCACAACTTCCCAGACCCAGAGACACAACCCCAGACTCAGAACCCTAATCCCAGACCCAGAGATACAACCCCAGACTCAGGGCAATCCCAGACCAGGGCACAACCCCCAGACCCAGAGACACAACCTTCCCCAGACAGAGACACAACCCCAGGCCAGAGATTTCAACCCCAGACCAGAGACCTTTGAACCCAGAGACACAACCCCCAGGCCAGAGATACAACCCCAGACCAAGAGATACAACCTCCAGACCCAGGAGCACAACCCCCAGACCCAGACACAACCCCAGACTCAGAGACACAATCCCAGACCAGGAGCCACAACCCCAGACTGAGCCTGACCCCCAGACCCAGGGCCACAACCCCAGACCCAGAGACACAACCCCAGACCCAAACACAACCCCCAGACCCAGGGCACAACCCCCAGACAGAGACACAATCCCAGACTCAAGACAAAACCCCAGACCCAGAGCACAACCCAGACTCAGAGACACAATCCCAGACCCAGAGACACAACCCCAGACCCAGGAGACACAACCCCAGACCCAGACACAATCCCAGACTCAGAGACACAACCCCCCAGACCCAAGACACAACCCCCAGACCAGAGACACAACCCCCCAGACCCAGAGACACAACCCCAGACCCAGAGACACAACCCCGAGACCCAGACACACAATCCCAGACTCAGGAGCACAACCCCAGGGCCAGGGAGCACAACTCCAGACCCAGGGCAACCCCCAGACCCAGGAAGCCACAACCCCCAAACCAGGAATGCAACCTCAGACCCAGAGACACAACCCCAGACCCAGGGCAACCCAGACCCAGAGACACAATCCCAAACTCCAAGACACAACCCCCAGACCCAGGAACACAACCCCCCAGACCCAGGGCCACAACCCCAGACAGAGATACAACCCCAGACCAGAGATGCAACCTCAGACCCAGAGACACAACCCCCCAGACCCAGGGCACAACCCCCAGACCCAGAGACACAACCCCAGACCAAGACACAACCCCCAGACCAAGAGACACAACCCCAGACCCAGAGACACAACCCCCAGACCCCAGAGTCTACAACCCCAGACCAGAGATGCAACCTCCAGACTCAGAGACAAAACCCCCAGACCCCAGAGACACAGCCCAGACCAGGGCTTCACAACTTTGAACCCAGGAGCCACAACCTTCCCCAGACCCAGAGACACAACCCCCCAGACCAAGAGGGTACAACCCCAGACCCAGGAGCACAACCTCGGGCAAGACACAGCCCTAGGCCCAGGAACACAACTCCAGACCCAGAGCACAACCCCCCAGACCCAAGACACAGCCCCAGACCCAGAGATACAGCCTTCCAGACTCAGGGCACAATCCCAGGCTCAGAGACACAATCCAGACCCAGGAACCCCAACCCCCAGACCCAGAGACACAACTCCCGAGGCCAGAGACACAACCCCAGACCCAGGACACAACCCCAGACCCAGAGATACAACCCCAGACCAAGAATGCAACCTCCAGACCCAGAGACACAACCCCCAGACCCAGGGAAGACTGTGCCCCAGACCCAGAGACACAGCCCCCAGACCCAGGGCCTGACAGACCCAGGACACAGCCCCCAGACTCGAAGACACAACCCCAGACCCAGGAACACAACCCCAGGCAGAGACACAACCCCCAGACCCAGAGATACAACCCCCAGGCCAGAGAATACAACCTCCAGACCCAGAGACACAACCCCAGACCCAGAATGCAACCCCAGACGCAGAGACACAACCCCCAGACCCAGAGACACAACCCCCAGACCCAGAATGCAACCCCCAGACCCAGAGATACAACCCCAGACCAAGAGATACAACCTCAGACCCAGAACCCCACAACCCCAGACCCCAGAGATACAACCCCCCAGACCCAAGAGATACAACCTCAGACCCAGAGACACAACCCAGACCAGAGATACAACCCCCAGACGCAGGAACTACAACCCCAGACCAGAGATGCAACCCCACAGACCCAGAAGACACAACCCCACAGACCCAGAGACCTGGCCCCAGACCCAGGGCACAACCCCAGACAAGATGCCAACCCCAGACCCAGAGACACAACCCCAGACCCCAGAGACACAACCCCGAACCCAGGAGACAACCCAGACCAAGATATACAACCCCCAGACGAAGACACAATCCCAGACAGAGACACAACCCCCCAGACCCAGAACTGGCCCAGACCCAGAAGATACAACCCCAGACACCCAGAAGCACAACCCCAGACCCAGACGCACAACCCCAGACAAGATATACAAATCAGACCCAAACATAAAACCCTGAACCTAACAATCCCTAGACCCAGAAGACACAACCCCAGACAGCAGAGACACAACCCCCAGACCCAGAGACAACCCCAGACCCAGAGACACAACCCCAGAACCAGAGACACAACCCCCAGACCCAGAAAACAACCCCCAGAACCAGGAACACAACCCCAGAACCAGAACCTGACCCCCAGACCCAGGGCACAACCCTAGACCCAGAGACACAACCCTGGAGCCAGGGCCTGACCCTAGGGCAGAGACGCAACCCCCAGACCCAGAGATGCAACCCCCCAGGCACGCAGGGGAACTGCCCCAGACCCAGAGACACAACCCCCAGACCAAGATAGCCAGCACAGACCCAAACGCCCACAACTAGACCTAACAATCCTAGACCCAGAAGACACAACCCCCAGACCCAGAGACACAACCCCCAGACCCAGGGCACAACCCCCAGACCCAGAGACACAACCCCAGAACCAGAGACACAACCCCAGGGCAGGGCAGCCCTAGACCCAGAACACAACCCCTAGACCAGAGACACAACCCCCAGAACCAGAGACACAACCCCGGGCCAGAGACCTGGCCCCAGACCCAGGGCAGCCCCCAGACCCCAGGAGACACAACCCCAGACCCAGGGCAACCCCAGACAGAGATACAACTCCCGGGCCAGGAGGGCAACCCCTAGGCCCAGAGACACAGCCTAGACCCAGAGACTTGCAACCCCCAGACCTGGGAACACAGCCCCTGCACCCAGAGACACGCCCCGGGCCAGGGCACAGCCCTAGACCCAGGAACTGCCCCCAGACCTGGGGCACAGCCTACACCCAGAGACACAACCCCAGACCCAGGACACAACCCCCCAGACCCAAACACTTACAACCCCTGGGCCAAGAACACAGCCCTACACCCAGAGACACAACCCCTAGACCCAGAGACACAGCCCCAGACCTGGGGCAGCCTACACCCAGAGACACAACCCCCAGACAGAGATACAACCCTAGACCAGAGACACAACCCCCAGGCCCAGAGATGGCCCTGAACCCAGAGACCTGGCGCCCACAGACCCAGAGACTGGCAAGACCCAGTACAACCCCAGACCTAGGGCCTGGCCACCCAGAGACACAACCCCAGACCCAGGACACAACCCCAGACAGGAGACACAGCCTACACCCCAGGAGCACAATCTGGGCAGAGGCCACAGCCCCAGACCTGAGACTGGCCCTAAACCCAGAGACACAACCTCCAGACCGGAGATACAACCCCATACCCAGACACAACCCTAGACCCAGGAGCCTGGCCAGACCCAGAGATACAGCCCTAGACCCAGAGACACAGCCTAGACCCAGAGACACACAACCCTAGACCCAGAGACACAACACCAGACCTGGGGAGACACAACCCCTGCACCCCAGAGACACAACCCCGGACCCAGAGACACAACCCTAGACAGAGACACAACCCCCTAGGCCAGGAACCCCAACCCTGAACCCAGAGATACAACCCCAGACCCAGAGACACAACCTAAACCCAGAGACACAACCTCAGACCGGAGATCTGTATACCAGAGACACACAACCCTAGACCAGGGAGCACAACCTAGACTAGAGAATGCAGCCTGGGCAGAGAGCACCTAGACCCAGAGATACAACCCCAGACCCAGAGACACAACCCTGACAGTAATAGGATATAAATAACCATCTTTTGGGTTGTTCAGGTTCTCTGCTCCTCAACTTCTCGCTGCATATCAATGGAAAGTGTGTATAACGGAAGAGTGAGGGGTTTCTCTCAACACAGGGGCCAAAAAACAAAGTGACGCGGCTCACATAAGCGACTGCCAGTGTTAATACTCGCTGGACTTCCTCACAGTATTAAGAACATAAGAACATAAGAATGGAGGAAACTGCAGCGGGCCTATTGACCCATACTGGGGAGTCCTTTTATACCCAACCCCTATTGCTCATATAAGCATCCAACCTATGTTTGAAGCTATTCAGCGTATTCGAGTTAATGATGATATTTGGTAACTTGTTCCACTCATCCACTACTCTGTTTCCAAACCAGTGTTTACCAATTTCACGCCGAAATCTAAATTTGTCTAATTTAAAACCATTGTTACGAGTTCGCTCCTGGCTGGATAGTTTCAGTACCTTTGTAATGTCCCTTTGTTTAACCCTGACTTCCATTTATATACCTCTATCATGTCGCCCCTCACTCTACGTCTCTCGAGGAGTGCAAATTATGATGCTTTAACCTGTCTCTGTATTCAAGGTTCCTAATGCCCGGGATTAGTCTTGTCATTCTCCTCTGGATTCTTTCCAATGATTCTATATCCATTCTGTAATATGGTGACCAGAACTGAACTGTGTAATCCAGGTGAGGTCTCAAGTGCTAGATATAATTTTAAGATGACCTCGCTAGTCTTGTAACTAACACTTTGTATGAGCCCAAGTACTTTATTAGCCTTGTTACAAGCAAAAACACATTGTTTACTTGGCTTAAGATTCCTACTTTTCATTACTCCTAAATCTCTCTCTCGCAGTTGGATTCCAAAATGCCATCGTTGTTCATCTGGTAACTGGTTTCCTGTTTACATCTCCTATACTGAGTAATTTTACATTTGTCCACATTAATTTCATCTGCCATTTTTCCAACCATTCGAAAATTTGTTTAGATCTTCCTGTAGTTTTGCAAAGTCCTCGTCAGATTTAATTACACGTCCTATTTTAGTGTCATCAGCAATTATGTTGCTATCTATGCCGATATCTATGTCGTTTATGTATATAATAAATAATAATGGCCCAAGTACTGAGCCTTGGGAACTCCACTAGTGACGTTGCTCCAATGCGATTTAGTACCGTTTATGCTCACTCGCTGTTTCCTGTCCCGTAACCACGCCCTAATTCATTTAAGGATATTACCTTGATGCCATGCGCTTCTACCTTTCTAATTAGTCTTTCGTGGGGGACTCTGTCGAAGGCTTTGCTAAAGTCGAGATATACCACATCATAATTGTGCCCCTCGTCCACCGATTCGAAAACTGATGAAAAGAATGTTAATAAATTAGTTAGACATGAACGCCCGCTTGTGAAGCCATGTTGGGAATCATTGATCAACTTAATAATAATAATAATAATAATTAACGGTCTATTGAAAAAATTCTGCAGTCCGAAGGCTGAAAATATACATTGGACATGAATGACTTATTACATACATTGGTGGTTTAACAAAAGCCTTCATTAGAGAAAGGTAAAGGAACATACAGTGAACATACAGATTAATGTAGGATTGTACGTGTTGAACAGCAAACACGTAGTGTAGTAACTCCCTCGCAGATGGTGTTAGGAAGGACTCACGTGATGTAGTAGTTCCTCAAATGGTGTTATGAGGACCTGACGTGGTGTAGTAATTCCTCGCAGATGGTGTTATGAGGACCACGTGGTGTAGTAATTCCTCACAGATGGTGTTATGGGACCTCACGTGGTGTAATTACCTCACAGATGGTGTTATGAGGGTCCTCATATGGTGTAGTAATTCCCTCACAGATGGTGTTATTAGGGACCTGACGTGGTGTAGTAATTCCCTCACAGATGGTGTTATGAGGGACCTGACGTGGTGTAGTAATTCCCTCACAGATGGTGTTATGAGGGGGGCCTCACGTGATGTAGTAATTCCCTCACAGATGGTGTTATGAGGGGGCCTCACGTGGTGTAGTAATTCCTTCACAGATGGTGTTATATGAGTGAGGTGTGGTTCCAGACCTTCCTATCATTGACGGATTAACACATCGCTGGTTGTTGTTGGGTCTCACGGGCCGTTGTCACTGGGTACCTGGGACCTCACTGTGTGAAGGTTAACTTGGGTACGACTGTTACTGTTGAGTTGTTCTCACTGACTTAAGCACTGTTCACCACTGTTCACCTCTGTTTAACACTGGTTCCATTCCTTTCCTAAATGAAATTGTAACTTCTGGCGAGAACTTGTTGATATTCCGGTGGGGAGGAGGGATCTGGGGAGGGGGATGGTATGCCATACCATCCCCCTCCCCAGATCCCACCTGGAAACATCCTTGACCACGGAAGGGTCAAGACGTACCTGGCGCTCCTCTCGGAGCAGCCAGGTACGTCTTGACCCTTCGGTGGTCAAGGATGTTTCCAGGTGGTTTCGAATAGAGTTTGAAATAATTGATTCTAGTAATTTACCTACTATTGATGTTAGACTGATTGGGCGGTAGTTAGAGAATAGTGATCTATCCCCCTTCTTGAAAATCGGTATTACATTTGTTATCCTCCAGGATTCTGGCACGACACCTGTTTTTAATGACATGTTAAACAACTTTGCTAAGGGCATACTAAGCTCATCCTTACATTCCTTTAATACTCTGGCAAATATCTCATCGGGACCAGGTGACTTATAAGGCTTCAGTTTGTCTATTTGCTTATTAACATCGTTACTAGTCACTACTATCTCTCTTAATTTGTTTTCTTCACTATCTCTGAATAGAGTCGGTGCCTCGGGGATCATGTTTAAATTTTCGGTGGTGAAAACTGTTGAAAAATATTTAATCAGATTATTGCTCATTTCTCCGTCGTTATCAGTTAGCTCGCCGGTATCTGAACGTATTGGTCCAATCTTATCTCGTGTTTTAGTTTGATACATTTGGTAGAATACTTTGGGGTTTGTTTTCGCCTCCCCTGCTACCTTCAGTTCATAGTTCCTCTTGGCTTTTCTTATCTCGGTCTTAACCCTACTCGCCAATACCTTATAATACTCCCGGAGGTAAAATTCGCCACTATTTATCCTTTTACCTATAACCTTCCTTTCGCCAATAATGTTCTTTAAATAATTATTTATCCACTTAGGGTCATTGTTGTCTGATCTGAGTTTTTTGTATGGTATGTTCTGCCTTTGTGCATTAAGTAACTCGTTATTTAAATTGTCGTGGAACTCGGCAATCTCAGATCTCGTTATCAGGTCGGTGTCATCTTGGTTCACATCCAAGCGTGATACCCCTTCTCTCAGCTGCCTCTTTAAACTATCAAAGTTTGCCCTTCTGAAATCTGGGACTTTAATGGAATTCCCTTTACGTCTGACCTGAAAATTTAACTGGAATCTAATTTCTTTGTGATCGCTGTTTGCAAGTTCGTTCCCTACCTCGACATTGCTAATGAGGTTTTCTCTGTTCGACAGAACTAAATCGAGTATATTATTACCTCGGGTGGGTTCGGTTATATGTTGACTTAGGAAACAGTCCTGGATCGTTTCGTGGAAATCCTCTGATACTGAGTTACCTGTAAGGTCAGTCCAATCTATTTGGCCAAGGTTAAAATCGCCTAGTATACAGACTTTGTTGTGTATGGAAGCCCTGCGCATTTCATCCCAGGTAAGTCGCTCATTAACTCTATCAAGATTGGGAGGTCTATATATTACTCCTATGATTAATTTTTCCCTACCGTCGATTAATTCTATCCAAATTGTTTCTGTATTCCGCTCAGTTTTTATTTCCTTATTTATTTCGCACTTCAGATTATCACTGACATAGATGGTGACTCCGTCTCCTTTCCTGGACGGCCTATCAGTATGGAACAATTTGTAATCCGCAATTTGGTATTCGACAGGTAACTCACGTGAGTCTAGGTTGATCCATGTTTCAGTGAATGCTATTATATCGATCTTTTCGGTACATACCAAGGCCCTAATATCATCCATTTTGTTTCTCATGCTTCTACTGTTCGCGTAGTAGACATTTAAGTTAGTCGTGTTCTGAGTCCTCCCTTTACCGCGTTTAGGTTTAAATTCCCTGTCTAATTTAGTTTTGTCATCATTCCTAACACTATTTCCCTGTAATCTTTCACTTGGTTTACTCGCTACCACTGCAGTCTCCTCCACCCCCGTGCTTTTATGCTCCCCTAGCAGTTTAAAGACTTCGATATCTTTTGAACTGCCCCCTCAAGAGACCCAGCCAGGGTTGCCACCCCCTCCCGAGAAAGGTGCACCCCATCCCTAGCATAAAGCTCCCTTCTGCCGTAGAAGTTGTCCCAGTTGTCAATGAATGGGACTGATATTGACTTGCAATATCCTTCAAGACGGCCGTTGACACCAACTGCCCTTGACAACCATCCATTGCTAACTCTCCTTCTAGGCAGGACACCACATATGATAGGGATCCCTCCCTTAGTCCTAATACGATCTATAGCTGTCTTGAACTTATCAAGAAGCTCCTCACTCCTATACCGGCCAATATCATTGCCTCCTGCACTGAGGCAGATAATGGGTTTGTTCCCATTACCAGACAAGATATTGTCCATCCTGTCAATTATATCTCCCACCCCAGCCCCTGTCCAGGTACCTTTCCTGTGAGTCACCAACAATTAAAGTTTTTATACCTTCCTTGTCAGCCCTGTCCCTGACTGTACTAACGTCCATTTCGTAGCTGTTGTTGTCATTGTTGCCGTACCCTTGGTGTTTTTCTTCACCTCCAGTTTGGCCTTCATATTTTCGTGATCTCTCTGTGACGTGCGTGTTTTAGTTAAGGCACCTTACATGTGTTCGGTAACGTATCATTGACAAGACCAGGAAATTCCCTTACATGTAATTAGCAACAGTTGCATGAAAATCTCTCTCGCCCTGAAGCAGCGAAGACAGAGCTATTTCTCCTACCTGGGTGTGTGGTGGGGGTCAAATATCTGTGTTTTTCTTGTTTCTAACACTCTATGATTCCTTATATCTCATCAGTGACGGATTCATTTTCTTGATTAGTAACTTCTACAGATAAAATGACCCTTCTTAATAATTAAATCCACGATCACCTTAAAACAATAATTTACCTCAGTCAAGATTTGTCTTTAGACCAGAGTGGATGGTTTTGGCCGTGACAGGGATTGTAGATGGTTGTGAGCGTGTCAGGAAGTGTGGATGGTTTTGGGCGTGGCAGGGAGTGTGGATGGTTGTGGGCGTGGCAGGGTTGGTATAGGACAGCCCCCTTCCTCTTCGGTGTCCCAGACCATACGGTGATCCATGGGGTGACGTATAGGTTAAGACGAAAGCAATAGGGTTTTAAAGTCAAGTTCAAGAGTGTTGTTGCTCAAGGCAATGGTACTAGTTTTTGCGCCTCAGTTCTTGGCAGGAGATGTTGAGTTGGAGGGCCAGTCTTGTGAACCTTCTGGTCTTAGCAAGTACCCTCCTGGGCTCTCCTCATTCACACTGGAAACTTGAACTTGTTGATGATAATAACGCTGCATGACTTAGAGAGAACTTCAGGACAAGCTTGAACGCAAATATGATCGTGAAACGTGATGTTAAAAATGAAGTATCGCAGACTATGAAATCCGGTAAGTATGAAGGTGACATATTCTTTGAGTTTGAGACGCACACAACCAGTTCTACACTTCCTGGGGCCCTACTGTGTCACATTACCAACTGACACAAGAAGCAAGGCCATAACGACAAAGAGTTTTTATCTCTGACCAGAACTGACCTCAACAGTGTATTGTTTTCCTTGTACTTTACTTACCATTATGATTCAGATAAATTAATATTGCTTCAACTTCATTATTTAGGGAAGATAGTCGACTAACCACTTGTGTACGGGTCCTCTCTATGCTGAATAACATAGTCTAGCATTAGCCAAATAAAATATTAAAAATGGCGTCGCCGTAGTGAAAGGGTTAAAAGTTGGTGCTTTTTACTGTCTCAGGTTAGTCAGGTAGTAGCAAGCAATAGTTAGTGACATTCACCTGTGATAAGACTCGTTGTGTTTTCCAGAGTTGTATAAACATTATCACACCTTCAGTTAACACTCCCCTTGAGGCCTTATTGTTTTTTGTGTATTAGAACCGTTACTGTTATGTCTCGCTCAAAAAAAAAAATCGTGTTCGATGCCCAAATACATGTTTTGTGATCTAATAAGTTGCTAGTTAATGTTTACTTTTCAATCACAAGGACAGTTGGGAACCATTTACCTTACTCCAGGACTTTGAGTCACCCCCTTACATAAACCCTGGGGTTGACAACACTGAAGACTTCCCATTTCTGCGATAACCTGGTGGTTCATTATGGATTATCATCTTGTACAAACATCATCATTGTTTTACCATGGTTGGATACTATATCTAGACATATGGTGGTGATTAGGTACCGTAAAAGAGGACAGGACCCTTAGAGTCAAATAGGATCCACAATCAAGCCCGATGACCATTGTATGTTGGGGTGTTGTTGTGTGTGTGTTAATACTCACAATATACAACAAGAATGCCAGCCCTTCTGCACCTCACAACAAAGTGTCTTGAAGAAGCAGCTCCTTGCCGCATGAATTGTTAATGTGTCCGTGATCTTAAGTGGTACACATTGAACTTTACCTTACATCCCATACTAGGAATGTTCAAGCATAGTTATATAACGTGGGTTCCTGCTTGGCCTTGACTTTTTACAAGGTAACTTGACCACAGACTTCTTGTGTGCGTGGGTGAGAACACAGCTACTATCCACAAGGAAGTGCCCTCTGCTGGTCCCACCATAACTTCATGTAGAAAATCATTATTAAAATTACTTATCCATTCCTTTCTCTGTCCATGTTCATAACCCTTGATCTATCCGCTTGGACCCTGATCATGATTGCTTACGCCACATGTCAAACAGAAAAGCTTAGGTTAAGAGTTCAATAAGTCTAGTGTTATTTTGGTTGCGTGTGAAGCCTACGATCTTGCCTTAACACAGCCAGTCACCAATTATTGGTCCATCAGCTTTTGAAACCTGTTGTGTAGTGCCACCTGTCCTGAGGTGTAGTGCTACCTGTCCTAAGGTGTAGTGCCACCTGTCCTGAGGTGTAGTGCCACCTGTCCGGAGGTATAGTGCCAGATATCCTTTGGTGGCACAAAACTTATCTTATGTCTTCAACTTTCGTTTTTCCCAAAATTCATCTATCACTCCAGGGTTTCAAGTCCTGCAGTTAGATATTTTTAATAATTTTCTGCACAGTTTTATATATCAATCCTTAATAGTAACGCTTAACTGATGTTGACAGCAAACAACGTGAGTACATTAAACCATAACTGCACCCGTTATACCAACAGAAAATGACCGTAAAAAGTATATTATTTACGATCGTTTTCTGTTGGTATATCGGTATAATGACAGTTATGTTCTTCAGTGAAACACAATTTTGATCCATCTGACATAGAACTTTATTTCCTTTACCTCTGGATTAACACTTGCTATATTTTTTATCAACTCGTAAACGATAACTACAGTAAGGATTCTACACAACGACTTGTCTTTGTTTATCCAGTGAGTCTCCTGCCTTAGATCCCGATAAGACTTACAGTAGTGACGATACCCGGATCCGAATCTTTTTACATTAACCCCTTGAGTACGATGATATAACCCTTTGAGTACAATATCTTAACCCCTTGAGTACGATGATATAACCCTTTCAGTACAATATCTTAACCCCTTGAGTACGATGATATAACCCTTTGAGTACAATATCTTAACCCCTTGAGTGCGATGATATAATAAGTCATATCTCCATTTATCAATATGTAAATCCACCTGTGAATCAGCAAGCTAATTAAGAGGTAACCTGAACACAATGAATGAGACAAACTATAGCGAATAAAATTAATAATAGAGACTTATCATAATAGAAAAAATAGCATAAATAGTTAATATATCAAGGGGATGTTGAATATAATGCTATTAAACGCTTCAACAGCTAAGATCTTTAAACACGTGACAATGTAATTAATTACACTTGTTGGTCAAAAATACAGAATTAAGAGCATAAGAACATAAGAAAATAAGGAGTCTGCAATAGGCCGGTTGGCCTGTGCATGGCAGCTCCTGTCGAGAGTTACTACCACTCTCTATCATCCATGAATCTATCTAGCCTCCTTTTGAAACTTCCCAGAGTTCCCGCACTTACTACAAAGTTGCTAAGCTTGTTCCACTCGTCCACCACCCTATTTTTAAACCAGTTCCTTTCTATCTCCCTCCTAAACCTAAACTTATCCAACTTGAATCCGTTGCTCCGAGTCCTATCCTGCTCGGATATTATAATAACTTTATCTATATCACCTTTATTGATTCCTTTCACCCACTTGAATACTTCTATCATATCTCCCCGCACTCTTCGTCTTTCTAGGGAATGTAAGTTTAGTTTCTTTAACCTATCCTGATATGGAAGGTTTATAAGTCCCGGAATCATTTTCGTCATTCTTCGCTGCACCAACTCTAGTGAATTGATATCCATTCTATAATAAGGGCACCAGAACTGAACCGCATAATCGAGGTGCGACCTGACTAGCGCAAGATATAGTTGCAATAAGACCTCTGCACTCTTGTTACTTACACTTCTAGATATAAAACCCAATACTCTGTTTGCCTTATTTCGAACATTAACTCACTGTTTTCTAGGCCGTAGGTCCGGGCTTACAAGTACCCCTAGGTCTCCTTCACAAGTCGACTTCTCTAGGTTGATGTTGTTAAGGCTGTATACATTGACAGTATTTGTTCTTCCAATATTAAGTACGCTGCACTTGCTGGTGTTGAATTTCATTTGCCATTTTTCAGACCACCCCTGCAGTTTATTTAGATTCTCCTGTAATGCATTTGCATCCTGCCCTGAATTAATCTGCCGCCCTATTTTGGTGTCATCCGCAAACTTGCTTATGTCACTGCTGATCCCAGTATCTAGATCGTTTATGTAGATTATGAACAAGAGTGGGCCTAGTACTGACCCCTGGGGAACCCCACTGGTTACACGACCCCACTCAGATTTAACACCATCTATGCTGACCCTCTGCGTTCTATCGGTGAGCCATGATTTATCCAATTTAAGACTTTCCCTTCGATACCATGAGCCTTAATTTTTCTCAGAAGCCTCTGATGCGGTATTCTGTCAAATGCTTTGCTAAAGTCTAAGTAAATATCATCGTAATTTTCGTCATTATCTACTACCTCGAAGACTTTCCTAAAAAATGTCAGCAGATTTGTTAGACAAGATTTTCCCTTTGTAAACCCATGTTGAGAGTCGTAGATTAATTTGCTTTTCTCTAAATGCGATCGGATGTTATCTGCTATAATTGATTCAAGAAATTTCCCCACTACTGACGTCAAACTGATCGGCTGGTAATTTGACGCTGATGCTCTGTCTCCCTTTTTGAATATGGGTACTACATTTGCCTGTTTCCACAAGTCTGGCACAACTCCGGTGTCTAATGATTTTGTAAATAAGTTTAAGAGGAGTTCGCTAATCTGTTCCCTACACTCTTTCAAGACTCGAGGGAAAATTTCATCCAGCCCTGGGGATTTTGTCTTCTTTAGTTTATTTATCTTCTTAATAACATCCTCTTTTCTGATAGTGATATTCTTTAATTTCTCTTCTTCCTTTCCCTTAAATATCAGTTCCACCTCTGGAATTTCATCGCGAATTTCCTCTGTGAAAGCTGATAAGAAGTAGCTGTTCAATGCTTTGCTTATTTCTTCACTGCCATTTATCACTTCTCCCCTCCCTGACTTTAAAGGCCCAGCTTTGTCCTTGACCTTTGTTCTATATACCTGGAAAAATCCCTTGGGATTCGCCTTGGATTCTCTTGCTATTTTGATTTCATAGTCTCTCTTTGCTTTCCTTACATTTTTCTTAACATTCCTAGATAGTTCATTATACCTATTTCTGAGCTGCTCCTCCCCTCCCTTTAATTTCTTATATATTCCTTTCTTTATTCCTATGTCATGTTTAAGTTTTCTGGTTATCCACCTTGGCTCATTCTTATTTGACCTAATTTTTCTGTATGGTATATTTTGTTCTTGTGCTTTATGTAATATACTAGTGAATATATTATAGTCATGATCAATTGTTGTGTCATCTATGACCTCACCCCTTCCTACTGGTGACTGACGTGACTGTTCCCAGGTGACCTCACCTAGGTACCTTCTTAACCCCTGATAATCCGCCAACCGAAAGTTTGGGACTCTGACCATATTGTCATTGTTTTTCGTTTCCCAGTTTAGGGTGAACCTGATTTCTCTGTGATCACTGTTACCTAGTTCTTCCCCTACTGTGATATCTCTGATAATATTTTCTTTATTTGTTAATACTAGGTCTAATATATTGTCACCTCTAGTAGGTTCTGTAATTAGTTGTTTCAAAAAAGTTTCCTGCACTGCGTCTAGGAAGTCTTCAGATTCATAGTCACCTACAATGTTGTCCCAGTCAATATTTCTGAAGTTGAAATCCCCCATAATGCACAGGTTGTTATATTTTGCTGCCCTACTCATTTCCTGCCATATGGGCTGAGCTGCTTCCTTCCCAAGACTTGGAGGCCTGTAAATC